ATTCGGTTTTTTAAAAAGTATTTTTGCCCTCCTCTTCACATAAACATTTTTACTTCTCCCTTCCTTTAATCTTTTCTTACTTCAAGTAGAAATGTGGGTTGAATCAAGATTGGTAATTCCATGCTCTGTGACAGGTTCTTTCTGCTCATGGAAAGTGCTAGAATTCACTGGAGGCTTCCTGCTGGCGAAAGGATAGAGAAACCACATCCACTGATTTTCACCTTTCCTGCGTCCAAGCTCTGTTCAAGGGTCATGTGAGCTCTCTTGATGGCATCCCGCAGTGGTTCTTAACCTTTGTTACTCGGATGCTTTTGAACTGCAACTCCCAGAAACCCCAGTCAGGACAGCTGGTGGTGAAGGCTTCTGGGAGTTGCAGTCCAAAACTCCTGAGTAACCCAAGGTTAAGAACCAGTGTTCCAGAGTACATTTCCAGGGAGCAATAAGTGGGAAGGGGCAAAATTTTAGATTAACCCATTACAAATAAGGGGTTACACACGTCCCTTTCTCTCCACTAACTCAGGTAGAAAATTATAATTGCACCTTAATGAGGAATAACTCTTTGTATTATGACTGCAGTTTTTCTCAGTTAGTTTTATAGTTAAGAGGGTGCAATTTTGCTCATTGGCAGAGGAGGAGTATACCAACATTCATTTGCTGGCTCATGCTGCATTCTGATAGGGTTTTTTGGGGGAGCATAACAAACTAAAAATATTTGTTTTAGTTTCTTTTGAGAACATGAGAGGAAAGAATTGCTTTTTTCAAAATTGAGATTGTAATGATAACTGACTAATTCAGGCAACTGTTTTGCAGCCATAATTGTACACTAGTTACTTCCAGACACTCTGTAAGCTCTCTTCTGTTCCTTCTCCGTTGTAGACAAAACTCAGCTATGTGTTAGGAACTAGTAATCTTTATAATTATTTTCCTAGTGCAGTTGAACGGCCAGTTCCTTTAAAGTGCTCCCCCACAACACACACAAAGGAAAGGGAGGAAAAAGACCCACATCTTGCCACCAGAGCTGCACTCATCTTCTTTTCAGTTGTTGGCATTAGCAGAGACCTAACATCCCCAGTCACAGGCCATGCTGATGATGGCTAATGGGTGTCCGAAACATCTGAAATGGGATCGGACTAAAAATGGTTGTTTTGTGGAGGGTAGTAGAGTAATTTGATTTCTTCTTCTTCTTCTTCTTCTTCCAACCTATATACTACCTTGTAGTTCTTGGACCAAACAATTATACAAACAACAACTTGCCCCTCAGCATGCTGGGTACTCATTTTACCAACCTTTCTGTGATCTGTACTGCCTATGCACCATTCTGTCTTGTTCCAATGCATCAATCACGATGGCAGAAAAGTGCATATTATTAAAGTCCAAAAAGCCCTATGAAAATAAATGTTCTCTGAGGCATCATTGAAAAGACTGTTGAGCCTCCGTATAATTTATGATGGTTTTATCTTAGGGAAGCAAATTGAAGCCGTAACATTATCTGAAGCATGGGGTTGAAATGAAAATTGAAAACATACTCAATAAGGTTTATGGCTCTGGTTTCACATATAAGTTGCTTTCCCTATTTAAATGCCCCCCCATTATTTTTAAAGGAGGCAGATTGATTGATTGATTGATTGATTTACTTATTTATTTATTTATTTATTTTATACCCCGCCTATCTGGCCTAATAGACCACTCTAGGCGGCTCTAGATGACTGGATTAGCTCAGTGAGTTGGGCATCTGGCTACAGAGCCAGAGGTTGGGAGTTCAGTTCTTACTGGGCATCCCAAAAGAGTCAACCTGTGTCAGAACTGACCTGATGGCATACAATTATTATTAATAGGATAGTGTACTTACTGAGACAAGAAACATTTCAAGAAATTATTGATCTGCTTTGATTTTTTTTTCCCATTTCCCTTCATGCTCAGTGCAAAATAATATTTACACCAGTAAGGTGATCTTTTACCTTTGCATGTACATTCTGCATGCACTGGGAGTGTACGGTTATTGATTGTTGAGGAGTCTGGATGCATTAGAATGTCAGGAGCATTTCAGTTTTTAAAAATGATACTGTAATCTCTTACATTCATTGCACTATCTCTGATCTTCTTCCCCATATCTCCATCAAGATAATGTTGCTACAACTACATTTATTTATTGAACCCATTTGTATCTCACCTTTCCCAAGTGCAGCACAGGTACCTAAAGGTTTTATGCCGGAATCTTTCTCTTCTTTGTATTGTAAGGGATTTAGCAGAACATGTGCTTCTTGAATATGTTGATGATGGAAGTTGTAGACCAATGTACATAGGAGGGACCTGGTTGGGAAAGATTAATCTAGCTCAGCGGTTCCCAACCTTGGTTAACCCACATGTTCTTGGATTGCAAGTTCCAGAAATTCTAGCCAGGACAGCTAGCGGTGAAGTCTTCTGGGAGTTGCAGTCCAAGAACACCTGGGTTATCCAAGGTTGGTTTCTTGTCCATTACTGCTTCCTCAGATTGCCAGATGCTCTGTAAGTGAAGAATCTCAGGATCAAACTACATGATGCATAGAACCCTAGTGGAGTGGTGAAGGTTTAAACTTCCCCACCCTGTATGTGAGGTCCCAGTGTGAACCAGGGCGTGCTTACACTTAAGCAAAAAACAGAAGCCAGGGAATATGGGTTAATGGTATGGAATATCCATCCCTGTTATTGTTCAGTTTGACTTTTGTTTAAGCCACAGCTTTCGCTTTATAAAAGAAAAATTCCCTTATTTCTCTGTATGGAGTTGATGTATGTGTTCCTTCCTTCTTAACTGCATACAGTGGGGTCTTGAATTGAGAACTTAATCTGTATTGGAAGGTGGTTCTCAGGTCAAAAAGTCTGTAAGTCATGTCTCCATTGACCTACAGTGCATTGAAAACTGATTAATCCCGTAACAGGCCGTTTTTGTTCCATTTTGGGTTTTTTCTGGTCTGTAAGTCAAATCTCAGTCTGCAAGTCAAACCTAAATTTTGCGGCCAGAGAAGTCTGTAACTCAAAAAGTCTGTAAGTCAAGCCTTCTGTAAGTCAAGGGTCCACTGTATAAGAAAGTGGGTTCTGACCAATGTGATAATAAACTGGCTGCCCTTCTAATAATGCAGTCCTGTGGTCCTGGTAGACTGTCCCAGGAGCCATAGGATTTCGCAGATCATCTTCTTTTCTCATGGAGAAAGAAACTTCCCTGGGCCCCCTCTGTGCCTGGAGAATGCCTGAACACCAGTAACACGGGCAATGCTATTGGTTTGTAAACCTAAATGTAGATTTCTCGCAGCCCTTCTTCTCTCACGAGTTAAAGTTCAACCTCGTTGTTTGTAAGCACAGCGACTGCGATACCATCAGGTACCGAAATGCCACTGAGCTGTTAGCAAACTCAGTCGAGCAAACAAGCTGAGCAGACTCCTCCATTAAATACTAGACAGCAATATCAACCCTGATAATCAGATGAATGTTTCCAAATTCTCCATCCATTCTGTTCTTTATTGGCCACATTCCTTATTTTGCCTTGGACAATTTTCGAGTGAGTTAGTGCTTTTATGAAAAGGAGTTGTCCTCATAAGGGGAGGCTTTTTGCCTGGACCTTACAGTTGCAAATTTAATATATGAATCAGTACTCTCATCCATATGCATCAGGACCAGGCCTCAGTGGCATCCCATAAGCTTCTTTACATTAAACCATGTATTTGGAGGTACAACACCAATCATAGCCAAAGATTTAGGAATCATGGGAAGCGTCATGCCAAACATCCAGGTTGAGGAAGGCTGATTTACACTGACCTATAGTAGCTCTGCAGGATTCTAGACAGAGGGTTTTCTCGGTTCTACTTAGAAATTCTGGAAACTGATCCTGCACTCTTCTGTATGCAAAGTGAACCATGTCTCTTGCCTTATGAGAAATTCAGGAAGAAACAGTTTAAGAAGTAATGGTTAGGTAGGATTCCACTCAGGGCCCAACTGCAAAATGAAATAGATTGTCAGCAAATAGAGGGATCTTTTCTGCAGTGGACCGAGCAAGATTCTGGAACAAACTTCCAAAATAATCCTGCTGGAACAGTGAGCATCATTTGCCAATGTTTAGGAAGCTTTGCAAGGTGCATCTTTTAAAGCAAACTTTTAAGGATTCCACTACTGTTTCTTTTTCTGCTGTCTTAATACGTTTTGGCTTTGTGATGGTTAGTAAGAAGAATGTTGCCTACTAATGTTTTCTGTCATCTCAGTTTTAGATCAAATTGTATACACATCACCTCAAAATTGGTCAGAAGTGAAGTTAGCATTAGCAGTGATTTAAATCAAAATATTAGAAAACCTCACAAACAAAATATGCTTTGATGTTTTTAATGCAGTTTTGAGATACATGTATTTCTACTCTGAGGCACATGTAAAATAAAGATGTCTCTGATTTGATTTGGTGATCTGGTGAAAACAGTTGCTCAAGAAACAAGACTTATTAAATGTTTACAGTTCTTCTGTGTGGGAAGGAAAGTCATCTGTCTGGGTCGGATGAGTCTCACGCAAGCCTCGGGGCAGGTTGATGAGTCTGCTTAAGGTGGGAATCGGTATTCCTGCCACATTCTGATCGACAATCCTAAGCATACTATCAGGATTAAGGACATTTTGCAAAGAGGGAAGGAGCTGAATGTCACATATTAATTCCAATGAACCAGACTGTTCCTTGGCTGCGGGCTTCTAGTAATTTTGTTTGATGGATTCTAAGACATCCTACATAATAAGTAGTCAATATAGGTGGAACTGAAGAGGTCGTCCTGCCTTTTTCTGGTTGGTTTTGCTTTTAAAATTGCTTGAATTAAACCATGTTTAATGAAGGTAACTAGTTTTCATAGTAAAGAGGTCAGTCTCTCAAGGATTGATGCAAATGATAGCTTAATCATTATTAATTAGAGATTGCATATCGTTGAGTGCTGTTTGTAATCAATAAAGACCACGTCTGTACTAGTACCATTTCTACCATTTTCCTCCCTCCAAAACAGATTTTTATCACAGTCAACTGCCTGAGCACAGACTTTTCTTCTCAAAAGGGCGTGAAGGGGCTTCCTTTGATGATTCAGATTGATACATACAGCTACAATAATCGCAGCAACAAACCTATCCATCGTGCTTTCTGCCAGATCAAGGTTTTTTGTGACAAGGTAAGATGAGGTGCTTGTTAAATATGTAAAAATACAAGCTGCTGAATACAAAACGGAAGTGTGTAGAAAATCTTTTTGTTTAATAACTGTTTTATTTTCAAAGGCTTCATTTTTTTCTCAGTTGTTTAAGGCACATTGTGTTCTGTTTTGTACTTTTTTCTCTTTCCTTTTTTTTTGTGCTGGTTTCTTTTTGTTTCCTTGCTTGTTCCCTCGTGAGTTACTACAATGACTTTGGTCAAAATGTTATATCCCAGAATAACATTGGGATGCTGTATTCCCATGTACTCTAGGAAAGGGATGATCAGCAGACAAAAATAGCATTCCCACTGGCATGTGCCATTTTCCTTCTCAGAATGGAACAATTCCCAAAGCATTCGGGGGGGGGGGAATAGTGCCTGATAGGAGATAGTTGCCAAAATTATCTCTGCTACTGGCAAAGAATATAAACCCATATCACAAAACAGCTGAAAAATAAATATGGGTGAAATGACAAAAATGAGGCTAATTCACACCCCTTAGTTCCTAATAGTATTTATAGTCCTGCTGTTGAGTCAATTACATTTTTTAAAAAATTATTTTATTTTTTCATCATCATCATCATTCTTTATTATGGTCACAGACCAGCAAGATCATAAGAAAACAGAACATACACAAAGAACCCCTATATGTAGTATATGAATCCTTCTTTATTTTATTTTTTGTTACAAGAAATGAATGCCATTCCTCAAAATTCAAACTAAGACTCTGGCTAGAGATTTGTTTATTTTATTTATTTAAAATATTTTTATCTCACCTTTCTCCTTAAAAAGGACCCAAGACGGATTACATCATTAAAAGACAGTTTTTAAATCTAACAACAGTGAGTATATAAATACTAAAAAGGATCAAACACTATACTAAAAACAAAAACAAAAAACACACACCCACAATACCAGAACCAAAATTCAAAGCAGTAAGGCACACGAATCGACTTAAAAACCCCACTCAGGCAACCAGTCACTCAGGGAAAGCTTGCCTGAGGAGAAAGGTCTTTGCCTGCTTGTGGAAGGACTGTGAAGTTGGTGCCAGCCTGGTCTCCTGTGGGAGGGAGTTCCAAAGTCTGGGAGCACCAACAGAGAAATCCCTCTCTAGTATACCCACCAAAAACGTACCTGTGAATGTGGTGGGACCTAGAAAAAGGTCTCCCCTGATGATCTTAACATTTAAGCAAGCTCATAAAGGGAGATTGAGATAACATGGGCCCAAGCCCAAGAGATTTACAATTCAAATGACCATAAAGGAAGAAGAAGAGAAAAGAAAAGTAACAGGGAGTGCTTAGATAATAATAAAAAGGTTTTTTTTTAAAAAAAAATTTCTTGACTTAACTTAACCAAATACGAGATGGACTGACTCCCCAAATGAAGCCACAGCTTGGTGGCTTAGAGGCGCTCTTCAAGGATGGGCTGGGAGCAAGCTCTGCTCTCAGGAATCACTCGGCGGCAGCTCGGGTGCTTGGGGAAAAGGGCCAGCAGCACGCCTCGCTCACCAGCTCTCCCCCAAGACAATGCCTCTGGCACCCTCCATCTGGAACTGCAGAAAATAATAATAAAGTTTAAGAAAAACAATGTAATTGAAAAGAATAATGAATACGAAGCAGTGTTAGAACAACAGCAGAAGTTACGCACTCAAAGCTTTCTGGAATTTTTAAAAGTTTTCAAAGTGTATGTTTAAAAGATAGTAATGCAGGAACCAGTTGGATGTCGAGTGTTGCCAAAAATTTCTGTGTTGCAACTTACATGTTGCCAAAAAAGAGAAAATATACCATCAAAAAGAGGGTGCTACTCGTGCATGAACCATACATATTCTGTTTAGTTGATATAGAAAATACCTTCATGCAGAAGACAGCTTCCTGACAATACTTCAGAGAGGAAGAATGATCTTCTGTAAAGATGAACTCTAGATTCCTACCAAAGGGTATTCAAGAAATTCACTTCTTTCTGTTTTGAGACATTAACAGGAAAAAGCATAGGAATAGATTCAGAAACTGTCCTCACAGACCGTTTCTTGACCCACGTAACCCTGTACTGTCAATTTTATTTGTTTGTTTGTTTGTTTGTTTGTTCCATTTTTACCCTGCCCATCTAGATTCAGGAATAAAGATAAAAACAGCATTAAAATAACGGTGTCAACACAGGTGGGACAACTGTGCAGAGTTGCAGGCGGGATTCTTCCTTAGCCTTACCTGGAGATGCCATGGACCTGAGGCTTTCTGCTGGCAAAACACAGGCAATGCTGGCTGGGGTGTGTAATCTGGGGATTGTAATCCACCCCAAAAAAGGAACTTTTGAAAGTGCTGGATTACACATGTTGGGTTTGCGGGAGCGGTGTTGCAATCAAATGCCTCCTCCACATCCCAGCCCAAACACATTATTATGTCCACAAGGAAAAAGAACAGCAATGTTTTGGTTGCTAAGCAACCATGAATTTATGAGCGGCAATAACAAGAATGGGGAAAATGGTAACGCTATGGGAGCCATAGATGAGAGAGCCTCAGAACTGCTTCCTTGATCTTTTCTACCTCAGCATCTGTGATATGCTTTGGTCAGAGGCAACCTGGCATTAGGGAAATGCAGAAGAGAAACACCAGCTATGCTGAGTAACTTAATTAACAAAAACATTTTTTTTCCAAGTAGTGAATCTCAAGTACTTTTTAATGGTAATTTTTAGGTCAAATATTTGCAGAGATTTGAAGATACAGTTTGTCTGTTAAAAGCTCAGTAAATATTAAAGGAATGAATGTGGTTCTTATTACCCCCCCCCAGCCCCTTGGCAGTTTTTAAAAACTAATGAGGAGTAAAAAAGGAAAATCTTTTAAGAGAATGTGCCTCATCAAGGGTGACCTATTAATGACGGGGAGGTGAGCCTTCAAGTTATACATATTCATCACTTTGACTATCAATGCGTTTAACTGATACTTCACATCTCATGGTTTGGAAGCAGGAAGTGAGTGTTGACAGACCTAATCAAAACCATCATAAATGAAGGAGAAAAGAACACGGGGTAATTAAAACGTTACCCTTATCAAACCTGTAGTTTGGATAGTTACAGAAGACTAAAATGTTAGCTCCACAGGCTTGTTGGATAGCTCAGTGGATTAGGCATCTAGCCAGAGATTCCACCCTGGAGTTTCTTATGAGAAGCGCCAGCCTGTGTGGCCTTGGGCAAGCTGCATAGAGAAGGTAATGGTAAACTACTTGTGAGTGCATTACCAGAAAATTCTGGAGTAATTATAAGTCAGAATTGACTTAACGGCACATAATTATTCTCACCCATACTGAAGACACAGCATGGAAAAGTTACTTTCAGGATTCACAGAATCCTAAAGCTAGCATGTCCACTGACCACATTGTCTGAGGAATTCTCAGAATTGTAGCTAGAAATGAGAAATAGTACTTTTTTAGAATACGTAGCACTCTCAGAGTACTCAGCATGGCTAGTGGTTGCTCCAGCTAAGGGAGTGAAGTGGTTATAGTGCAAAAATTAATGTTCACATATTATGGACCCACTGACTTGTTGAAGAGGGTCCGTGAAGGTTATTCAGAAGGTTATTCTGAAGCACTTCCAATCCTTTCAAGGATCAACCATGCAACATGGAAATCTTCTAAGACCTGGCCTTGCTCCTGGATGCCCAAGTGGCAGGTGTAGCCATGAGTGCTTTTGCACTCATTTAGCAGATGGGTCATTAATGATCAATGTGAAGACTGATTAATAAGGTGGTCAGAACTCTGCAGATACCACATGGCTGGTGGAGAGAAAAACTGTAGAAAATTTAGGCCATAGGCATAATTACGTGGGTGGGGGGGAATTAAATATCTTTGAAATAAGTGCAATGCAGCTTCCTTATCATACAGTCCTAGACACGAGGGGACGAAACTACAGATGGGGAAAGTTACTCTGTTTTTGTACAACAACTCCCAGAATCCAATAGCACCAGCAAATAAGCACAGGACAGGCATGGGACCCAATGGGAGCACATAGATTTCACCTCCAAGGATACATATGCCATCTAGTGGTGTAGGATGAGAACACTGTAAATAACTGAGATGGACTGTGAAGGAAAATGAATACTGAAAATAGCATGCATGTGTTCTCTCCCATTTTATCTTCAAAACAGTCCTGTGAGTTAGGGGTGGCTGTGATGGGCCCACCATATTTATTTAATTACTTCTTTTTATTTGAAAGTATTTATGTTTTACTTTTGCAGCATGTATTCAAGGCAGCTTCAAATAGAATGAAATCAGGAGTAAAATTATAATAACGTACAGTGAACAAAAACCAAGTCAGAGTATTCTCAAAGAAAGGTTTGATAGCAGTTTCCAAATGCAAAGAAAAGGAGCTTCTTTGATGGAGAGGGTGGTTGTGGCCCCGTCTGGGAAATGTGGCTGCAAAAGTCCCCCTTCCAGTTATTGGCTGGACTGCCCATAGCTCTACAACAGAGCTTGGAAAAGAAATTCATGCTAAGTGTTGTAGTCCAAAAATGTTACTATTCAGGGTGTGCTCTTTAGCTTAAAACTGACAGCTTTAATTGGACTCGATCAGTGGAGTTGCCACAGTAACACCTACACACAGCCCTGTCATCGTTCAACAGCAGATGTGGTGCAGCATTTTGTATTAGCTGAAGCTTCTGGCTTGTCTTCAGGAGCAGTCCTGTATTCAGCATATTGAAGTAGCCAAGTCTGGAAGTTGCAGCAATATAGTCACTTTGTATATTATGGTGGAGCCCAGTTTTTAAAAGGATAACCACAAGGGAATAACACATTTTGGAAAACAGCCCTGCTCTGTGTGTATTTGACAGTCACGTTGAGATTTGCTGCTTCTCCGCATTAACCCAGCTGCTCTTAATGCCCTTTCATCTTCTAGAAAACAGTTATTCCTTATTATCATAAAATCATAGAATTTAAAGAAGTACCTTAAATAGCATTAGGTAGGTTGTCAAGGAAACGTCAGCCACAACACTGATTCGGTTTAATATGACTCTTTCGCAATGAGTAGGATAGAATTACTGCCAAGGTGGTATGTTTATGTGCCTTATCATGAAACACACACTCTCACACACACAATATTAGAAACATATTTTCTTTAAAATGACTGCAACATTTGGTACCATTTTGTTTGTAATACAATAACTACCATGTCCCTTGCTCTCCTACGATCTGGACAGATGGAGAAACTATTGAGGAACTAAGTAGGTGCAAAGCCTAATGCGGGCTTTATAGAAAATTGCTCAAAAGTAATCTTACTAATTGCCATCAAGTTTTCCTCCTCCTTCTGGTTTTTGCAAGAGTGTTTTCCAACCTATGTGACTTGAGGCTCTGAAGGTTTCAGCTACCAGATGCACACCTGTTCCAAGCAAAGCTAAAGTATTTCACTTCCAGGTACCTATTGCAACTGGAAAACTTGCAAATCCTCCTGAAGATGCTCTTTCACACATGCTAAATGAAGCAGATGAATCCCAGTGATTGCATAACAGAATCTTTGTGTTCAGACACCTGCCAAACCTGGGATATTCTTCAAACATGTTTTTCTGAAGCATATTCAGACAATGTGTGAGTGTTTCCATTCACCCATCTCCATGCAACTGAATCTACCTACCAGAGGTCTTTCAGGGCTTGTTTTGAAAGTGGATTTTCTTTTTTGGCTTATCATTAAGCCTGTGCACTATAGGCAGCTGAGACCAACAGTTGACACTCAAGTGTTTTTATGCAAGATAGTGGTGTTATGAAGTCAAGGCATAGTCTTCTTCTCATTCAATTTGCCTGTCCTTCTGTGAGAACCCACCCCATTCCCACATAATGGTGCACTAAGATAGGAGAGCAACGGGTAGATCTTAAAATAGGTGGGCAAACTGTAGGCCTGCCGGTGTTGTCAGACTGCAGTTATCTGCACCACTGAATGTGGTGATTAGGACTGAGTAGGAGTTGCAGCCCAGGGGCTGCAGCTTACCCACCTTTGCCTTAAATGCATTGTCAAGTCATTTTATGTCCAGCTGGACAAAGGCAGGTAGGATGCGCCAATAGTGTGACTCTTAGGCAGAATAACACGGACATTTCTTTTATTTTGGAAGTGGGGTGGCCTATCACGGCTCTGCCCTCATATGCACAAGGGTTGTACAGAAAGCAAGCGAGCAAGAACTATTAGCAGCATGTGTGCCTATGATTCCTGAGAAAAATATTTTCAGTGTTACCCTACAGGGGACAGGAACGATTAAGATAATACTCAGATGACTAACATAGCTTGGTGAATATTAAGATTCACGGGTTCAGCCATTTGAAGCACAGTAGGAAAGACCCTTGGCTGTGTAGAATTCCACTGTGACTCCCTTTCTTAGCATCTTAAATTTGTAAGATCGTTACACAGCTTCCCATTGACTTGCGTTCCGCTTTCTGCCCATGCTAAATGAAAATAAAATGCTACAGAAAGGGTAGATGGTTTACCTACTGACTTGACATCAGCTGAAAGAGATTTGTAAAGTGCAAGGCAGCAGGACGCCTTGTACGGACATCTAACAGAGGCTTTGGTGCCAAGCTGGGAGATCAGTGCTAAAGCGTGAGAGGCACCAAATAATACTGTTACAGTTTATGATAGTAGAAAAATGGGTCTATTTTAACATGGAATATTCCCAATCAACCATGCCTTGCTGCTGGATTAGGTGATATTTGGGTGCCTGTGAAAGCTAAGATAGGAAAACTGGCTTTAGGAGGCTGCAACTTCTAGAATACTCCAGGCAGCATTGAAGCATGAGGGATTCTGGGAGTGGTAGTCCAAAAAAGTAACATTTTAAAGCTCCCAAACATCTCTGGAAATGGTGGTAGTTGGATTTGGGATCTTTAGTGTGCAAAATATTTGCTCTACCATTGAGTTATGGATTTTCCTCAGTAGAGGATGAAGGAGGCAAAGGAAACCTGTAGTAGAGGGGAAAGAGGAAAATGTGGTCTCATCTACTTTTCACTTCATCTCTCCCTAATGGCTTACCCTCAGATGTGGCCTTTGATCAGGGAAAAAGGGTTCCCTAGCCCTATTTTGTTGGAACGCCCACACAATTTTGATTAAAATTGTTACACAAATAGTTATGGTCATCAAGTAAATTGAATTTGAACATTACTGGCCATTTGCTGGATCAGGGCCTGTAGCTTCTCTCCATTCAAAATCAAAATAGCCAGCTTAGATATGCTTTTTAGATAAAGGCGAAAATCCTAAAGTTTGCATAACTTGCCATAGCTAATGGCAGTTAATTGATGAGTTGTAGAAAAAGTTGCTCTTAGTTGCTTGACTGGTTATGTACCTAATTGCGCAAGTGATCCCAGTGCCTTCTCAATGAATTGCAGTTAGCTGCAGCAAGTTACACAAAACAGAAATAAACTCCAATATGATTCTGGCCACTCTGTTGAGTATAAAATATAGTTAACCATTAATCTCTAAGGAAGAAGAGCAGCCATCATCAATTCACACAAATTGGGGCAATACATGGGGAAAAACTTTTAATAACTAACCAGCTGCAAAGGAAGGGGTTTTCATTGGGAGGATTTTGCCCTTTACCTTTTTCCATTTATTTTTCCATTATTTTAAACTGTTAATAGTTTTAACTTGTAATAGCCAAAATCCTGTTGTACAGTAATGATACAGTTGCCGACAACAAGCTGCCACTGATTAAAGACTTCCTCTTTTTGTTTTGATATCATTGCGCCTTGTATACAATGAGATGAAGCAGTGCACACATAAAAATTGAAAAAGGAAGCCTTTAATCAGTGGCATTCTGCTGCTGTCATTCCTAACGAGCAAGTGGAACCCGCCCAATGGGATTTGTAATGCAATATCAAATACATATCATATGCTTATTTCTTTTTTTTTTTTACTATTGCACTTTACTGCATTTTATATTCTTTATACTTTAAAAAAATATTTTGTAAGCTCCCTTGAGTCCATTTATTGGCAGAAAAGCAGGGATTAAGTAAACTGGATGAATAAATGAATTGCTTATATATAAAGATGGTGTTTGAAAGGCAAAAGTGGACAAACGTTCTCATAATGTTTAGATTGGACGGTAGGCCCAAATTTGTTTCAGCCTTGTCACTTGTGGGCTTTCTACTCCCTCCACTGGCAATCTGTTTGTCTTTAGTTCTATGAGTGCTTGTGTTCTTTTTTTCCTTCATCCAGTTTAATAGGTTATTTTGTTCACTTTCCTGTTCATGTAGCTGTTTCCTTCTTGTTTTGCAAGCATTAGTTGAGCCCATCTTCTTATCTGGCTCTTTTTCTAAGACTAGAATCCTACGGCTAATCTCATCTAGAGTATTCCTGTTGCCTCAGTGGGATTTACATAGGTGTTGACTTACATTGAGCAAAATTCCCTAAATTTGCTTGCAGAGACATAGGAGTAGTGGAAGCTGAAAAGCTATTACAGGCAAGCTTGGAAAGAGACATTTAAGAAGTCCAAAAGAGGACTTTAAGATCTACCTCTGTTGACTTAGTAGACCTAAGAGCAATTTTTCAGTCCCTACTCTATAATGTGTAAATACATTACTAAGGAATTGCATACTACTGTGTAAACACTAAAGAGCAGAGAACCTTTGCTTAAATGACTAAAATACGATTTTGTGAAGAAACAGAAATTTAACCATTTAGTTTATTAAAATACTCAAATTGGTCAGTATTCTTCTGTTCGTCCCAGCTAAGAGCAGACTTTGGTCAGCTTGAGCAGTAAATGGACACCATGTTCTTCTTCATTACTATGACAGCTAGGTTTAAATCCTTTTGCTTTTCCCAGGCAGAGTAGATCTATTGAATCAATGGAAATTTTGTTAAGTCAGTACTTAGGTAAGCTGCGTAGAGTCAATGAATCTATTCTCAGTGGGGCTAACAATTGGTTATAAATCCTAATCTTTAGCTATGCAATAGGTTCAGGCCTAACCACGTCTGCGGAAGTGACTACAGGTGCTGTTTTAGCAAAACTGCATCCTATAAAAGGAATTTGAGTGCACCAAGTTGTCGGCTATATTATAACTCCCAGAGGAAGCTACTGTGGTTTAGTTTAGGAAATCACAAAAAGAGGCAGTCCTGCCACTGGGCAAAGTGAGATAGCTGCTTCAAACAGCAGATTTAAGGTGTCAGGAAATGGCAGTAAATTGTTATCTATTGGATGTGTGGTTATTCTGTTTTTCTGCTAGGGAGAGGTGGGATTTTCCGTTTTATATGCCAAAATAGTTTGGCTCGCTTTAGGTACTGTGCATAGCATTCCATACTTTACCTCAGTCAGCAAAATATCTTGAGCCATCTATTGTTCAGATTCAGTTCTGGTGTAGGTAATTAAAACATATGAAATATAAGTTAATTCAATATACTGAAAGAAAAGCAAGATTCTTTGTCAAAGGCAAGCATAAGAAGCAAAGAACAGGACACTTTCTGTCTTAAAAGTGGAGTAGATCTCAAGATACTAGTTCCAAGGGGTTATAATAGCTATCAGCCATTTATCTCTATATCACAGAAGCATTGCCTTACAAAGAGTAGACTTAAATAAGACTTCATATCTGTGCTTCTCATGACAGGGAGCAGAAAGGAAAATCCGAGACGAAGAAAGGAAGCAAAACAGAAAGAAAGTGAAGGGTCAGATACCGCATCCCCCATGTAGTAATGGTGAGAAACATTCCCTGCTCTGCTAGTCCTCATTGTGCCGAAATATACTTAAGGTAGTCGTCCTAGACCTTAACTTTTCTCTCTGTCTCCCCGAGCAGCTGAAGGGAAAATGACCACCGTCCCTCTTCCAAAGAAGAGTGACATCACTTTCTTCAAAACGATGGCCGACTTGGACTCCCAGCCTGTTCTCTTCATACCAGATGTTCACTTTGGGAACCTCCAAAGAGCTGGGCAGGTACGAAATAAGGCAGTGGTGCCAGCGTGCATGTCTGTCTGTAAAATCCTTTCACTTTTAAGTGGCTGTGTTTACTCACGTCCTGGAGGAAGCTCAGCAGTGCATGGGCGTAACCCATGAAATGGTCCTGTCCAGCCAGTGGGAGAGGGACATGTATACCCGAAGGTGCCAACATTTGAAACAGCCTTAAAATGATACCTTTGGTACAAGAACTGAAGTGGGCGTCCCATTTTGCTGAAGCAAAACAAAATGCCACGGAGAAAAAAAGTTCAGTGTTTCATTTCATTTTGTTTTGGCAAAATTGGATCCACAAACTGAACCACGAACCAGCCCAGTTTGTGTTTTTTCCCCCCCTGGTTTCTGGTTCAGTTCGTGCTTGTCTCTAGTCCTTGGCTAGAATGACCATACTCTCGTACCAAATCAAAGTACATGTTGCACCTACTATTTACTAACTCTCATCAGCAGTATCTTTCCAATATGTTTTGGTCCATTGAGAAAACCCAACACTCAGAGACTAAATTGCTCATTGTTTGAATGTGCTTCCTGATGAAGAATGTCTGTCTGTCATGTCTGCACCTGCTGACTTCTGTCCTTCCACAGTCTGCATCTGGTCCATGTCTACCTCCGCAATTTTAGGGGATCTTTTTTTAAAAAATGGGCTGAAGTCCTGCAGTCCTTTCTAAAAGGGAAGTGTGTGCACACAAGGACACAAACATATGTGCAACATATCATTCTGGCCTTTTTAAAAAAGGAGTGCACATATGCCAAACTATACCCAGCGATATTGTTTGCACCCAATAACCTCTAGTTACTAAAGCACGGTGGGCAAAGTGTGGCCCAGGAACAGTCTCCATACCTCCATCAGCCCTCCTTTTTCAGAAGGGAAAGAAATAATTGAATCCCATGTAACACAAGGATAAGCAACCTCCAAATATTCAGGGTGTGCACAAGCATACCCTGGACCCTGGGGCCCCCACAATCATGCCAGTCCCTTCCCCTACCTGTATTTTTGTATTTTTTTTAATTGATTGAACAGTCTCCTTCATGCCCTCTAGTGGCCATAGGGAGCAATTTTGCCATTTTTGGCTGGTCCTGAGATGTTTCAAATCACACACAAACTTATAAGCTTAGGAGCAGCCTCTGAGAAGGTCCTCTCTCATGTCCTCACCGAGAGAATGACCTCCTCAGAAGATTTTAAAAGCTGAGAAGACTCATATGGGGTGATGCAGTGCTTCAAATAGCCTGGACCCAAGACGTCTGGTGCGAAAAACATCACTGCCAAGACTAAACAGCTGAAAGGGAAAGGCAAAATCTACCCCTAGAGGGCAAAGGAGACTTACAGAACAGAACAATGTCTTTTTAATTTTATAGGATGTGGGGCCCATGAGGTGCCCCAAAGCTGCTGGGTCACAGTTACAGTTTGATCCCACTTTGCTCCCCTCCTCTTGATACTTTCCAAAATGCTCATTTTTCACACCTGAAGTGGACTTCTAGATACTTCTTGTTTCCTTGTATTTAATGTTTTTTGGCATCTGGGGCAGTCTATGCAGCTTGCATGTCTGCTGACTGAGGAATTCTCAAAGAGGTAGTCCACAAAAATAATGTTTCTAAGCTTCTAATTGTTATTGGCAAGCAGTGCTAACAAGAGTTAGCACTGGAGCATGTTCACAGAGCATGGACAGAGTTCCTACTCCAGTCCTCTGAAGATGCCTGCCACAGAAACTGGCAAAACGCCAGGAAGAACAACCTTCAGAACACGGCCAAAGAGCCCGAGTGTTCTGTGCCATCAAGTCAGAACAAGAGTTAGTCAAAAGACAGATGCAGATATTTTGCTGCTTCATTGCTAAACAAGAGTTAGTCAAAAGACGGATGCAGATATTTTGCTGCTTCATTGCTAGTCTTCAGTCATACAGGCCACATTCTTGTCTCAGTGCCTGGGATAGCAGTGGCTAAACTGACTACCTCTTTCACCTAAGTATTTCACTGGACAACATTTAATGACACCAATGCAACTTAACTAGAAAAAATGATTTAAAATAAAGTTTAGCTTTTCCAGAAACCATTTTAAACTGGTATTCAAAGCATCAAGCTTTATATTTGTCTTGTGTGTGTTCTGTGCCATCAAGTCAGAATTGACTTATAAGCAACCCTAATAGAGGTTTGAAGGTAAGTGATGCATTTAAGGAGTCGTTTTAGCAGTTCCACTCCCACAGTGAGTTTCCATGGCTGAACGGGGATTCGAACCCTGCTCTCCAGAGTCCTCCTCTATTTGCCTTAGGGGAACAAATAGGTGTTGCCCCCCCTCTCCAGAGTCCTCCTCTATTTGTCTTAGGGGAACAAATAGGTGTTGCCCCCCCTTACTTCTCTTCACACATTCAAATCACTTGCAGCAGGATGGGAGTCTAAATAATGTTAAGATAAACAGAACGGTGAGTAGAATGATCTTCACCTGACTAGGAGGCTCACTGTAACAGGGCTTAATATGACAGGAGTAGGAGTTTACCATTAATTTATTTTAATCAGTTCCCATTTAGAAAGTATAAGTACCTTAGGCACTGTGACACCAGCTGTCAGGAAAGTTATTTTCCAGCACCGAAGAGACTAAACACAGTGACAGATTTCAACACAGATTCTCCCACCACCTACCCTATTCTATACAGGAATATAAGTAGGAGAGAGAATTTGCATTTCAGACATACACCTCCCCCCCCCATCATGCTGTAACTTAAGAATTGTGATACATACCTGTTTCAACTTAAGAATAGACTATATCTGTAATTGTTAAGGCTTTCATGATAATATGTTGTGCATATCTCTACCATTCATTAGCTTCTATCCATCTATCTTGGGTGAAGATGCACCGCTCAGTGGCAAACATGGCTTTGCACGTACAGTAAAAGATCCTGCATTTTGCTCCTGAGATCTCCCCAGAGATATTGAAAAAGTTTCCAGACTGAAGCCATAACTATTCAGTAATGGTGTAGTAGTATATTTAGGGTGCCTTTGTTCATCATGACAGTCCTGTAGTCACGCTCCAGGGACAAGCCAAAAACTGAAGGCAGCTCTGTTGATATACAGTAGCAAACCAGTTCTAGCAGTTTTTATTTTCACCAGAAGCCAGGGGTTTTTGTTTTCTTTCAGGATTTTTTAGATTTTTATTTTGTAACTCTAATAAGTATTAATTATTAGAGTTACATTACTACTCCAATACTTATTAGATTATCATAAGTATTAATAATCTAATAAGTATAATCAGAACCAAGCAACCTGAAAACCCTTCACATTCCAACAGTAGATCATTGCTGATGAACTCTGATTTGCTATAAAGCAGCATCTTATGTTACTGTGGGTTTATTTACTGATATTTATCTTGGTGTTTCTTAAAGAAGATGAGAGCAATTGCTGTGATTTTTCCATGTGGTAGGTCAGGCTATGAGAGACTGTCATCAAGTAAGTTTTGTGGTTGAACAGGGATTTAAACCCAGGTCCCTAGTCTGAAGTTCAGTGTTCTAGCCATTATTACCGCCTTTTACCAAAGTCCATAGTAACAAAGAGAGCAGTGTGCCACCTTTATGACTGGCATATTTATTACTGTAAAGGCTTTCAAGGAAGTGAGGCTGTTTGTCTGCTCAGCTCATGCTGTCACTCTGCCCATTTTAAGGTGCCACACAACCACTTGTTATTTTACTGCCACAAGCTAACACAGCCCCCCTTGCAGAAATATAGTCAGTTGTTTTCACTGGATATTTGCCTAACCCTTCATTAGACTGGCATTCTAAAGCAAAAGAAGGGCAACCTACCATCAGTCAAAAGAGAGAGAGAGAAAGAAAGAGAGGTTAAAAAAGGAGAAAATGTTGGAAAAGTTGTTTTTAAAAACTACAATTCTGGGACTCCCCAATCCATCATGGCCAGCTGTTGTAATGGAATAGGGATTCTGGAAATTGTATTTCAGCTAATCTAGTTCTGAGAGAAAGGCCCTATTCAGGCATTGCAGTCTGAATCTGAATAGGGCTTGAAATATGGTAAAGCTGTGGGGGCACACACAATTCCCACTCCTATATCCCCACTTCATCTGCAAGACAGGGAGACCTTTGCATATTCACAGGAAAAAAATGCAATTACACTTTTAGGTATGTTCTGTTGAGCGCATTCACACTTTTTCCATGTTTAGGAACCTGTGAATATGTGAAAATTTGTGTGTCTTTGTGATGGAATGGAGACACGGGCATGGGATTCACAAGTGCGCTTCTGTCATTACCCTTCAGGTCTTACATGGATTCAGGTTGTAACACCTGAATAGGGCTGAAGTGAAGGAGGTGTCAGCAACAGAGTAGTTTGGCCCATTTCTAACTGTAACTGTATCAACCACTGGTCTATAGGTTACTCGTGAGGGAATGCTGTGCCTCAACAGGTTCCAAACTGCTTCTCTATAAATATAAATGATATGAGCCAATAAGATCTTTTCCTGCACAAGTCTTGCTGGAATGAGAGAGAAATATGTACTAGATTAAATATTCTCAATCAGGCAAGCAGATACAAAATAAAAACCTTTATGCAACTACACTCTCTTTCTCTCACTCACTCACTCACTTACTCACACACACACACACGTAGTCTTCTGTGTGGCAACTCCTGTTGATCTCATAGCAATAAATCTGTTCTTTGTTCACTGTTACAGGTTTATTATAACACAGATGATGAACGAGAAGGGTAAGACATTTATTATCTTGTAAGTTTTAAAGCCAGGAGTCCCACCCATTGACCCTAAACAAAGTGTTTTTTTTAATACAGTTAAGAGGCAAACACTCAGCTTTCTCTCATCAGATTGTTTTTTTTTTAAAATCTAGTTGCAATTTTTGTTAACCTATACTGTATCATGTAAAACATTGCATGTCATACATGTGGCGTGACAAATGTAGTTGAAGACTGTTTTGTTAAAAATGTAATTCATTACTGTTACCATAATAGTAAGGCATTACTGTTACCATACAAATAATTCATTACTGCTACTATATTAGTACAGTAATTCATTACTGTTACCATAACAGTAATGACCATGATTTTAAATTGTGCAATACTCTGATACAGTTGAAGAAAGAACCATTGAAGAAAACAATCAGTTATTCATGAATGAATATATAGAACTTGTGACATGAAGAATAACAATCTTACGTTAAAGAAAGAACCATTGAAGAAAACAGTCAGTTATTCATGAATGAATATATAAAACTTGTGACATGAAGAATAACAATCTTACTGTCCCCATTAAAAAAGCAAAGCAAAAGCAAAGTGTGTTGCTTATATACTAAAGCACTCTGCTTTAGGCAGTTAACAATTTTTTAATTTGCAGGTTACACCTTGTGCTTCCCCCCAACAAGTTGGGTACTCAGTCTACCAACCTCAGAAGGACAGAAGGCTTAATGAACCTTGAGCCAGCTACTGGGGTTGACACCAGGTAGTGGGCAGAGTTTTGACTGCAGTGCTGCAGTTTAACCACTGTACCATGAGGCTCCATTACTCCAAAAAGTAGTGCATTGATAATAGTGTTATTGTAAATTGTCCAAGCTGTGGGAAGCTTTGACACAGTTCAAAAGGTAGAGATTTTGGGGACAGAGTGTGACCTCATTAGTGGCCTCCACAGGCCAGATTGGGAGGTCTGGGCTTGAAATTCTGTCCGTGGGCTGGGGGAGGGTCTTCCACCTTTGATATAAGTACACAGAAGAATAAAGAGTGGTCATTCAAATAAATGTAATGCATGGAGTGATTACATTAAACAGTACTCTCACTGTTAGGTTTACCTTGTAAAAAGGATCAAAGTTAATAAAAATCAGCTTCCATCTGTTTAGTCATCAAAAATTGGTTGATGTTGCTTTTCTCTTTTTGTGAGCAGTGTGCTTCAGTGATGTTTGTGTGCTGTTATTCATTTCTTGAGTGATAGTACTCAGCATTTTGAGTTAATCTGTTCATTTATGACAGTTGCACATCTTTTTTTAAAAAAATATTCCTTTGTAATGAATAATGTGTGTAAGGACATTATTGCCTGAGATTGGATCAGCCAAGAGGACAAAGGGGATATGTGGGGGTACTACTGGTACCCTCTGGGACATCAGCAGACACGAGTCAAAAAAACAAATGGATGACACTGTCCAGCCATCTCGTCCTCTGTTGTCCCCTTTCCTCTTGCCTTGATACTTTCCCAACATCAGGGTCTTTTCCAAGGAGTCCTCTCTTCTCATGAGATGACCTAAGTATTGAACCCTCAGCTTCAGGATCTGTCCTTCCAGTGAGCACTCAGGGTTGATTTCCTTTAGAACGGATAGGTTTGATTTCCTTGCAGTCCAGGGGACTGAAGCCCTAGCTCACAAGAAAATGTTATTTCCTCCGTCTGCTCATGCTTTGTACAGCTTCTGGCCTTTGACTGTGAGGACTGTTACGGTAACATTTCATTTCATACATGACTATAAATCAAGTTTGTCTCTTTGTTTTGCTCCACAACAGGAGCATTTTGGCCAAAAGAATATTCCGACCGGTAGAAGAGGACTTTGTCCCACCACCACTGAAGCAAATAAAGGAAGAAGGGACAAAAAGAGGTACCTGTGTGTTCTCAGACACTTTGTCCATTTCCTCTGATTTGCAGATCATTGAGAGAGAATTACTGGGGGAGTGAGAAAATGGAATGGAAAGGCAGTTCTGAGGAGAAGCACCGTCACAGAGGATGGTCTCGAACAGCCTACTGCTCTCCAGATGTGTGGGACTATGGCATCCATGGTTGTGGTGGCTTTACTACCACAAATCTGGAATATACTAGGTTGAGGAGGGCTGGTCAAGAACACTGTAGAGTGCCATTGGTCTAGAGGTCAACATGATGGGATGTGTGTCAAGTCAATTCTGACTTGTGGTGACCGTTCTCAAGGTTTTCTAAGTAGAGATTACAAAGAATGGTTGACCTTCCCCTTTTTCTGGGGTCATCCTGCAATTGTGCAGATTGCCCAAGGCCACACAAGCTGGCTGTTTGGTGATGCACAGTGGAGAATCAAACTCCCAACCTCTGGTTGTGCAGTCAATTAAACCAATGAGCGAGCTGCCCAGGCAGCACTGGTGGAGTGATTAGAAGATGGAATTAAGGTGGTGAAGGCACAGGTCCAATCCCCAATCAGTTATGAAGCTTGTTAGGTGACCATGAGCCAGTGAACTTTTTCTCAGCTTAGGCTACCTCATTGGGTTATGAGGATACAAAATTACATGCGCCATGTTTGCCAACCTGAGCCCTTTGTGAAAAGAGTGGAATAGAAATGTAATATATACAAACATGCATTCATGTTTGTATATATTGTATATATATAAACATGGTTTCTGTACACTGCTAAAATTATTAATTTTGAGAGAAGTCGCTCTGTCAGTCTGATGCAGCATATGTAATAAAAACCAAAGCAAAAATGAAATGAAACAAAATGGCTGTGACCCCTTAAAGACTAACAGATTTGTTTCAATGTGTGCTTTTGTGGGTTTAAGTCTACTCCCTCAGATAAATTGATAAATATTCAGCCATAGGCTTATATTCATGATGGGAGTGGAGACCCCATATTTTTTATTTTTGTTTTTTTGTTGTTGTTAACATTATTACGTTTCCGAACTGGGGTATATAAAAGCAGTTGAGTCTCTACTCCTGTCTGTTTGCACCTCCATCTGCATGCTTATATAAACATAAAAATAAAACCCAGTATCAATATGTCATAAATATGTTATTTAATGGTACTGCTGTTTTTGGAGCAACACAGTGGGGTTTTTAAAGGGTCCAATCAATCTCTACATGAGAAAATAATATAAGGTTCTGGCCCACTCTTCTTCATATTATCAGCACTTGTATTCAGCTTTTTGCCCTTTCATTAATAACTATTCTCCTTATAAAATCACTTCATAAAATGGGAGAATTAAGGCTAGATAGCTCATTGAGTTAGGTATATGGCTGGAGTTTGGGAGTTTGGTTCCCTACTGTGCATCCTGGGGAAAGAGCCAGCCTGTGTAGCCTTGGGCAAATTGCATAATCCCAGAGAACCTCTAGAAGAAAGGAATATAAACCATTTCAGAGTACTGTCTACTAGTAAATCTTGAAAAAGGTTCCCATAATCTGACTTGACAGTGCATTATTATTTATTTATTATTAATGGCCAGTGTAGTTGTTGCAAACTGCATCTACCACTCCACTGTTTAGAAGTGATCTGTAGACTCAGTAGATACTAAGAAATATGTATATTCATAGAAAGACTGCTTCCCAGAGAGAGAGAGAGAGAAAGAAAATAAAGATTTGGGTATTTCTAAACCAATGAATATGCTTCCTGACCCGACGCATCCTTACTATGTGGGATAGTTTTATTTTTAAATCAGGGAGTCTGGCTTCTTTCACTTGTCAGTTTTGAGAAGAATTATATTTCTTTCCAAGAGGAAGTAACTGAATTGTGGGGTTGTTATGTGGCTGCTCCAAAGTTTGCTTCTCTCAATTACAGTACTTCTATACGTGAGGAAAGAGGCAGATGAAGTATTTGATGCTTTGATGTTGAAGTCCCCTACTGTAAAAGGACTAATGGAAGCAGTAAGTATCTGTTATTCCTACTTCATTTATTTTACTGTAGTCAAAAAGCAAGCAGATGAACAAACAAAACCCATGGTTTAGTTTTCCAGAAGGGGGCAGGGCATAATAAAGTAGAGCATTGTTTTATATGTTTGCAAAAGTGTGGTAAACATGAGCGTTCCCAGTGTGGTGTAGTGGCCAGAGTAATGGACTATATATACAGGCGTACCTCGGTTTACGAACACCTTGGTTAACATAATTTTCGGTTTACGAAAGAAAATCCATTGAAAATAATCCCTCAGTTTACAATTTTATTTTATTTTATTTTATTTTTTATTTATTTTTGCAATACAAAGCAAGTTTCCCCAGGATGCATTGTGCCTGGGAGGTTTATAGTGCCACCCCCATGCATGCGTTCCTATGGGAAACTGCATTTTGGTTTGCAAATTTTTTGCAATACGAAATGTCCTGGAGAACGCATTAAATTCGTCAACCAAGATACAGCTGTATAAAATTATTATATAATGTATTGTCTATATATATTATAAAATATAATCATCTTTAAGGTGTCCCATGGCTTTTCTAGTTTTGTCTTGCTTTGTTTGTTTCTTTGGATTTTGCCTGATATGCTTGCACAGACTAAAGAGGCTACCTCCTCTTCAAATTTCCTCAGTTACCTTGAAAACTCTATTAGGGTTGTTGTAAGTCAAGTCTGACTTGACAGCAGACAACACCATAGTAAACATGGTGATTATGGACTATGCCCAGTGCCCATTATTATGACAAACATGGTATGAATGGAGGCTGGGAGAGCCTGTCTCTTACAAGGATTCTTGGGGGCTGCTGTGCATCTTTCTCTTGCCAGTGGGGTAGGTTTCATGCCTTCCAGCATTCAGGATCAAAGGCGAACACTGTACCCATTAAAACCAAACCTCTGAAAATCTAGCACTTTACTGTTTTTGCAGAGGAAGCCAGAGACTTTTTGAAGACCTAGAGAGAGAGAGAGAGAGAGAGAGAGAGATATCCACTGAGCATGGTGGAATAAGACCCACTGAGCATGGTGGACCTTACTTCCAAGCAGACAGGTATAGGATTGCAATGACTGAGACCGTCAACATTGCCATGCTTATGTCAAATCCCAGGCGGTGGGAAGGGCTATGCTTGGATTCAATAAGAAGCAGTATAAGGTCAATTCCTCTTTAGAACTTTGAAGACCTTTTCAGTCTTAAAGCCAATTAGGAGGAGCCAAGAATAGACCTTCTGCCTGGTTAGTAAGGCTAGCCTGACAACTGGAGGTGTATCAGGTCAGACATTTAAACTTTAACACACTGTTTCTTGTTTCTGTCAGATCGCTGTTAAAAAAAATACTGCTTTTAAAAATCCTAGTCCTTAAAAATCAAGCCAGTGCTTTCTTTCTGTCATACCCTTGTGCATTCTGTATCTTAGTCACACCAGAGGGTGGTACAATAAGGAGATAATTTGTACAATATTTGGGAGGCTGGTAGTCCATGATCCAATAAACGTGCAAATTTAGCCATGTGTACAGGGTTTATTACTCTCAGTACTTCATAGCTGTCATAGCTCCTTCACAAAATTAATTGCATGTATAGATCTTCCTGCACGCTTTTCTGAATGGGTGCTTATTAATAAATAAAATCTTTATCTTGTTTATTTTCAAGCAACTCTGTTTATAAGAACCTTTGCTTATGACAAGCAAGATCTGACTTTAATGCATTATCAGAAGGCCACAAATAAGACAGCATAAGCTCACAGAAGAAGATTTATAAAGACTAGAATGATAAATGTTTCAAAATGTTGGAAGTGGCTGGGGAGGGGACAGAACCTAACTCTGCAAGAGATATCTGTGGACAAGAAATAATGTAATATTCTGCTGTAGGATGCTGGTGTGTATGGCCTGGAAATCGAATTGCATGGAATGGGCAGTTGTATTCTGACCATTTTGAAATTCTTGTGCTGAAAAGGTCTGCAGGCCATTGAAATAAATTTGCATGCTGATGATTATTTGCATAATTTATTCTATTCCTCTAGGTCATAAGCAGGGGCATTTATTTTCTCTGACATAAATGGAAAGATTTTGTTATGCACGCTGTTCCTCCTGTTGGTTATGCTCTTTTTGGAATGGGTTTGTTTTAGATTGTACTTTACTATAAGCGACTTATTGCTATCTAACACTGATTCTGATTTCAGTAACGTTTTATATTTGAAGTAGATTCTGGGTGTTTTATAAGGTAAACTGCCTGGGGAAGACTATCTTGAAGTTTATCACATATATGCTAAATGCAATGTTCCATGAGCAAAATTCCACTTGTGCAACATATACCAAGGGTATGAAGAGAAAGATTGTGACTGCTGTAGAGTTGGTATAGGCTCTGAAACGCCAAGGTCGTACCCTGCATGGTTTTGGTGATAAAACATCAGTAACTTTGAATTCCTCCCTTCCGTCCTGCATTCTCTTGCTTGCTGCCTAGCACCGCTGTTGTCTGCATGTGTGTGGGCTAACAATCTGATAGCAACAACCAGCCCAGGGGTTGGGAGGCTATTGGATATGAGCCTGTGAGTAGATCTCAGGAGCTTAGAAAGTTATTTTAGATAAATAGCATCATACCTGTTGCTTCTTGTTTAGTACAAAATTACAAAATACTTGTTATTCAGCCATCAGTATTTTAAGACAAATGTACTAATAACATATTACCATTACAAAAGAGAGAAAAAGCTCTGTCATTCTTGCACCCAATCTGAAGTCAAGAGTGCCTTTATTACACCACTAAAATATCACAAACATATTCTGGAACTTGCTTCAAACAAAGACACACTTTGACTACATATTTGGCCATGGATTTTGGAACTCCTATGTTTCTTTGGATTGATGCCTTTGAATTGTGGTGCTGGAGGAGACTCTTGAGAGTCCCCTGGACTGCAAGGAGAACAAACCTATCCATTTTGAAGGAAATCAACCCCGAGTGCTCACTGGAAGGACAGATCCTGAAGCTGAGGCTCCAATGCTTTGGCCATCTGATGAGAAGAGAAGACTCCTTGGAAAAGACCCTGATGTTGGGAAAGTATGAAGGCAGGAGGAGAAGGGGATGACAGAGGATGAGATGGTTGGACAGTGTCATCAAAGCGACCAACATGATTTGACCCAACTCTGGAAGGCAGTGGAAGACAGCAGTGCTCTGGTCCATGGAGTCACGAAGAGTCGGGCACGACTAAACAACTAAATGACGACAATGTTTCTTCTGCACCACCCCAAGCTCTGTAATGCTGAGGAAGACTGCTGCAGGGTCAAAAGCTAGCTTATGTTTCTGAAATTTTAATAGTCCAATAGAAGTATCACTCACCCTTGTCTTCAGATTATTACCATTCATTGCTTTTGCACTAATTTTTAATTTAAAGTGCACTTAGATGCACAAAGGTAAAGGTAAAGGTTCCCCTTGACAATTTTTGTCCAGTCGTGCCCGACTCTAGGGGGCAGTGCTCATCCCCATTTCCAAGCCATAGAGCCAGCGTTTGTCCGAAGACAATCTTCCATGATCACATGGCCAGTGCGACTTAGACACGGAACGCTGTTACCTTTCCACCGAGATGGTCCCTATTTATCTACTGGCATTTGCATGCTTTCGAACCACTAGTTTGGCAGGAGCTGGGACAAGCAATGGGCGCTCACTCCGTCATGTGAATTTGATCTTACAGCTGAAGATCTACAGACCTTACAGCACAGAGGCTTCTGCAGTCTAACCTGCAGCGCCACCACGTGACACCACAAAAGATTGCCCCATATTCCACCCAAACTCTAAAATTATTGATGCTACCAGTTGTTATACTGTTCACTCAAAAACTAAAATAAAATGTTTTTTAGACTGGGAGAGAGAGGGAGAAATGCCAAAAAGTATGTAAAAAATTACAAGATTTTAAAAAAAAACATATTTCCTTTAGGTATCTATAGGAGTCTAGTAATGGAGTAGGTGGGGGCTTCAGACAGTTTGTCTCACTGTATGTTCCCACGTGAAGCTGCCTTTTGGGGATCCTATGGTTCCTGCCAAGGTCTTATTTATTATTTATTTAGAAGATTTTTGTCTTGCATTTCGCCTTAAAAAGGACCCAAGGGGGCTTACAACATCAACAATATTTAAGCTAACAGCAGTGAGTATGCAATACTAAAAGGATCAAATGAATACAATACAAAAAACATAAGCCATACCCAAACACATTCAATGCAGTAAGATATAGCAAGCCATTAAAAAACCCCTCTTGGCAGCCAGTCACGCAGGGAAAGCTTGCCTGAAGAGAAAGCTCTTTGCCTGCTTGTGGAAGGACAGTAAAGATGGGGCCAGCCTGGCTTCCAGTGGGAGGGAGTTCCAGAGCCTTGGAGCAGCAACAGAGAAAGCCCTCTCCCATGTAATAATGGAATATTAGAGGCCTAGAAAATAGGACCAAAGCATGCAAGTTTTGTGTTAAAAACCAATGTTGTTATTGTCCCTAGATAGTTTTTGTGACATGAAGAGCAACAACATTACTGTCACATTAATGGTAACACAATGAAATCCTAACACTCTACCTTTAAAAAAAGTGCAACATTTAATCAGTGTTACTCATTATTGCATAGCTCCTTATGTAAGATGGCTGTGGGATCTGTTCTATTTTTAAGTTAAAAATAAAGCCCTCTCTTTTGCTCCAGTGACAGCTTTCTTTACCACAGCCGCAGCAATGTGAGAGGCAGCTGCTCACACTTTCCGTAATGCCTAAAATGTTCTTGCAGCAGGGGAATGGGGCCCTGTAGGCACTACAGGAAATGTGTGTGGCTGCCTCCCACATTTCATGGGATGTGCAGAAGGAGAGCATCGCTGGAGCAACATCGCCCTGCCCCAGCATTCCAGCTAAAGAAAGAACAGAAGCACCACCAGCCCAGTCCATTTTACATCAGGAAGATAAATGGAATATAAATGCCAGGTTCTAGCAGGGAACTCTTCGCTTACCAGTATTGAAGTAAGAGTCACCTGCCG